GGGCCTGCCCCCGGTGGCCGTCAACCCAGCACCCTGTCCTGCCCGGGTGAGCCTTTGTGTTGTCGTTGGGCCAGGAGGGAGTGGAAGCCTGCGGCCTGGGCCGTGTGGAGGGGCTGCTCCTGCGTCTCACTGTCTCATCCCGGGTTTTCCTCTTCCCTCTTCTCTCTTTCTGCCTTCATTTTAGAAGGCAGGAGCCATGCTCTTCCCAAACTTCTATTTGCATATTTTGTGCTTGGTGGATGATAGAATTTTAGGCTGAAAATCTTTTTCTTCTGGAATATGCAGCTTTTCTGGTGTTGGGCAGTTCTCAGTCCTGCCCTGGTACTTGATGGCACTTTTCAGTTGGCACACTTGTGTTTTCTTACAGCTCTAGTTTTGGTTCCTTTTTTTTTTTTTTTAAGATTTTATTTATTTATTCATGGGGTGGGGTGGGCAGAGATACAGGCAGAGGGAGAAGCAGGCTCCATGCAAGGAGCCAGATGCGGGACTTGACCCCAGGTCTCCAGGATCAGGCCCTGGGCTGAAGGCGGCGCTAAACCGCTGAGCCACCCAGGCTCAGGGATCCCCCCGATTCCTTTTGTTTTTAATTGGCTTTCTCCCCCCCCCCCATGTTTGCCTGTATTCCTTATCTTTCAACTTCCTGCTACACAATTTCTCTTCCTATTTTCTGTTTGCTTTGTGCCGATTCTCCCTGGAAGATACCCCGACTGTGACTTCCACTGCACTCTGTCCCTCACGCCCTCGGCTTGTCCTGGCGGAGGGGATGCCTGCCTGCTCAGGAGCGAGGTCCCAGAGTGGTCCTACTCCTTGGCACTCCCTTGTCGTCCTAGTTTACTCTTTTCCACAGTTTCTTTTCATTTATAGGCATAGTAGCCTTCAACCTCTGGGGATCGCAGAACTGAAAAGCTTGCCATTCTTCCTCGGCTCCTCAACTCTCTCTTTTGTACTTTGGTTCCTGGTTGATGGCTGCTCAGCTTCGGGGTTACAGAAAGATTGGACAGAGCGTAGAGAGAATTCTCGTGTGTTCCCTTCTGCTGCGCCAGCCCCACGGCTCTCCTGTCCCCGCACAGCTCGTGTTGGTGTGGCGCGTCGTTGGCCCGCTGACCCACCCAGGGTTGATGCGTTACTAACCCAAGTCCATAGTTTCCCTTAGCGGCCCTCCGGTGTTGCACCTCCTGTGGGATTTTGACAAACCTATGATCGCATGTATCTGCCACCGTAGTGTCACACGGTTTCATCCCCCCAAAATCCTCCGTGCTCTGCCTCTCATCCCTCCCTCCTCCAGCCCCTGGCAACCACCGATCTCTGTACTGTCCCTGGAGTTTCACCTTTTCCAGGATGTCATAGAGATGGAGTCACCCAGTGTGGAGCCTTTTCACGGCTCAGTAGCTCATTTCTTTCCAGCATCGAAGAATATCCAGTGTCTGCATGGTCGCAGTTTGTTTATGCACTCACTCTGAGGGACATCTTCATTGCGCCTAAGTTTTGGCAATTATGAACACATTAACTTATTAAAGTAGTAGGCTGTCGTCACATAATAGATTATTAAATCAGTATTGAGTTTAGAAATTAAATCCATCTCCTCGTTTTTCACATGGTTGACTTCTGGGTGCGATCTGCAGGCGTGTGATGGGGCCGGGTGCCGCCGAGGCCCGTCATGCTCCCTTCACAGAGACAGACACAGTGCAGAGATTGGAAGCCCTTTTTTTTTTAGGGGTGTCCCTGTATTTCCTGAGAAGGTGGTTTATTTATAATTTTTTGTTAATGTTAAGCAGCAGGAAAGAGAATTCAGCTAGTCACAACTTTTTTTTTTTTTTTTAAGATTTTATTTATTTATTCCTGAGAGACCCAGAGAGAGAGAGAGAGAGAGGCAGAGACCCAGGCAGGGGGAGAAGCAGGCTCCACGCAGGGAGCCCGATGAGGGACTCGATCCCGGGACCCCAGGGTCACGCCCTGAGCCAAAGGCAGGCGCTAAACCACTGAGCCACCCGGGCGTCCCCAGCTAGGCGCAACTTAAGACAGTGTGTCCTTTTGGAGAACCAGAAGGCCGACTCACCTTTAGTGTGGGTGATCCCTGAACTTGAAATCAGCAGTAGCTTCTGGGCCTGCTTCTGTGACTAATTACTTATGAATTTTGGTAAATCATTTTGCATCTTTGGGCTTCCTTCCCTTTGATAATCTGAAAGAATTGGGCCAGGACCTTGTATCTGAGATCTTTTTTCCCACTGTTCTCTTGCTTCCGGCTCTGCTAGATCTAGCTTTTGTTGCTGGTAGCAATATGTTATGTTCTCTCCAGTTAACGCTTCTTTTTTTTTTTTTAAGATTTTATTTATTTATTCATGAGAGACAGAGAGAGAGAGAGAGAGAGGCAGAGACACAGGCAGAGGGAGAAGCAGGCTCCATGCAGGGAGCCCGATGTGGGACTCGATCCCGAGTCTCAAGATCAGGCCCTGGGCTGAAGGCGGCGCTAAACCGCTGAGCCACCCGGGCTGCTTAAAGCTAGCTTGCTTGCTTGCTTTCTTTCTTTATTATTTATTTTTTATTTATTTTTTATTTATTTTATGATAGTCACAGCGAGAGAGAGAGAGGCAGAGACACAGGCAGAGGGAGAAGCAGGCTCCATGCACCGGGAGCCCGACGTGGGATTCGATCCCGGGTCTCCAGGATCGCGCCCTGGGCCAAAGGCAGGCGCCAAACCGCTGCGCCACCCAGGGATCCCTCAAAGCTTTTTTTTAATGGTCTAAACCAACCAAGTAACTTGAATTAGACTAGTAATGAGCTGTTAATTGGAATTTTAATTAAGATGATTGTAAATTCACGTGTAGTTATTAAGAAAACCAGCACTTTGCTGGTTTTTCCCAACTGTGACCTTTTGCCAAACCTTAATTCACTATCCTCACCAGGATCCTGATGTTGATATAATCTACCAGCCTTACTCCGAGTCCTCATTCTTTACTTGTACTTATTCGTGTGCGTGTGTCCCACCTCTGTACAGAGCTGGCACCTGTGCAGGTTTGTGTGTCCACCACTGGACCCAGGATACTGGAATCCTGAGTCCCAACCACGCCTCTTCCTTGACCCTTGGCAACCAGCCGACCAGACCCTCTTCAGTTTCTGACATTGTATCATTTCCAAAGTGTGGTACAAATGCAGTGGTGTAGTGTGTAACCTTTTGGGATTGGCTTTTATCTGCTCAGTTTAATTGCGGGGGGTTCATCCAGTGGACACATGCAGCAGTGCTCCTGTTGCCAAGTCCTGTTACATCCTACCCATGCGTATTGCAGTTTCTAACCATTTAGTTGAAGGACATCTGGACTGATCCTAGTTTGGGGCTGTTACAGATAAAGCTGCTATGAATGTTGTAGGTTTTTATGTGAACACGTGTTGTGTTTCTTTTTCTTTTGGATAAATCAGCCAGGAGCAGAACTGCTGGGTGCCACGGCAGGTGTGTGCCAGGTAGTTGTGCAGAGTTACCCTGAGCCCTTGTAACTCGTCCCTCTCTCTGCCTCTGCTTTCAGACCACCTTATATAGATGACTTTGCATTTGCTAGAGTTTCTCTTTTAGGTCTGGCCCCTTTCGCTCAGCAGCATGCTGAAGAGTCGTGCGTGGCTCATTCCTTCCTGCCGCGTGGTAGTCCACTCTGCGGTAGACCCCTGTTTATCCATCCACCTGTCGAGGGACGTTTGGATTGTTCCCCAGTTTGGGGTATTGTGAGGAGAGCTGCTGTGAACATTGGTGTAAAGTCTTTGTGTAGACGTGTGTTTTCACTTCATGTAGGTTAAGTACTATACCGGCAGTGGAATTGCTGGCTCGTACGGTGAGTGTACGTCTAACCTCTTCAGTTAAGGCACTACCAGGCTGTTTTCTAAAGGGGTTGTACTGTTTTACATTTTCAGCATGTATGAGAGTCCATGTTCCCTTACATCTTTGCTAACACTTGATGTGGTTCATTTTTCAATAGAAGCCGTTCTAGTAGGTATGTAGTAGTACCTCCTCTTAGTCCGCATTTCTGAATAACTAATGATGAACATCTTTTCGTGTATTATTTCTGTATACCAGCGTTGCTGCAGCTAACATATGCCCTTTGTATTTCCATACAATTTTGAAGTAATTTTCCCAGTTTCTGCAAAAAGCCCTGCAAGGATCAGAGTTAAGATTGTATAGAACTGTACATCGATTTGGAGAAGATTGATAGTCCTGAGTCTTCTGATTCATGAACATGATGAAGCTCTGATTCTTTAGATCCTTTGTTTCTCTTGGCAATGTGTAGTTTTCAATTAGAGGTCTTGTATGTCTTTTGTTAATTTTTATTCCTAACTAAGTCTGTGGTTTGGGACGCTGCTGTAAATGAAACTTGTATGTAATATTTATTTTCCAATGGTTTACTGCTCTCAAGTAAAAATATAGTTTTAAATGTTTATACCTGTGACCTTGGTAAATTCACTTATTAGTTGTAGGTTTTTGTTTTAATTTGGTTAGTTTTTGTTCCGTTTTTGTTTTTTGTTGATCCCTTAGGATTTTCTATATAAACCACCAAATCCTCTGTGAGTAGGGACAGTTTTATGTCTTGATTATTTTTTTTTTTTTTTTTTTTTTTTGTCCCCTGTCATGGTGTTCAGGGTCCAAGAACAGTGTTGGCTAGAACTGGTGAGAGCAGGCATCCTTGTCACATTCTGGTCTTAAGGGAAAACCATTCAGTATTTCACTAGTAAGTATATCAGCAATAGATAGGTTTTTCAGACTGAGGAAGTTATCTTCTATTCCCAGTATATGGAGAATTTTTTTAAAAGATTTTATTTATTTATTCATGAGAGACACACTCACAGAGAAAGAGAGGCCTCTAGAGACATAGGCATAGGGAGGAGCAGGCTCCATGCAGGGAGCCCGATGTGGGACTCCATCCTGATCCTGGGTCTCTAGGATCACGCCCTGGGCTGAAGGCGGCGCTAAACCGCTGAGCCACCCAGACTGCCCCTGGAGAATTTTTTAAATCATGAATTAAGTGTTGAACGTTGCTACATACTTTGAAGAATCTGTTGAGATGATCATGTGATTTATCTCATTTGTTCTATAATATAGTGGATTATATCGGTTTATTTTGAAATGTTGAATCAGGCTTGCATTCTTGGGATAATTTCTGTTTGATTAGCTTTGATTTGCTAGAATTTTGTTAAGGATTTTTGCGTCTGTGTTTGTGAGGGATTTTTTCGTAATGTCTCTGTGAGGTCATGTTGGCCTCCAAAAACAGAAAAGGTTTTTGAGAAAGTTTGCCTGAGGTTTATAGTTGGATAGTTGGTAGAAAAGTCATCAAGGCCTGGAACTTTGTAGGAAGGTTTTCTATTACAGATTCAATTGTGCTAATACATTTAGAACTAACCAGATTCTGGTTCATCCTGTGTTAATTTGGGTAAATTGTATTTTTCAAGGTATTTTTCTGTTTCATCTAACTTATTGGCATAAAGTTGTCCGTAATTTTCTGTATCCTCTTTTTTGTGCCTATAGGGTCTATATTAATGATCTGTCTTTGTTTCCTTCCTCATGTCACTCATTTCTATTCTTTTTTTTCTTTGGTCAGCTGTTGATCAATTTTGCTATTGTTTTCAAAGAGCCAGCTTTTGGCTTTGTTAAATTTCTCTATCATTTATCTATTTTTTATTTTGATTTTTTGCTCTTTATTATTTCCTGCTTTCCATTTCCTCTGGGTCTGCCCTGCTGCTTCTAAAGCAATAGAACTTGAATCTTAGATCTTGGTTAATATATTTTATTATTCAACTCAGAGTAGTTTTTCTTGGGGCACCTGGGGGGCTCAGTTGATTGTCTGCCTTCAGCTTGGGTCATGATCCTGGGGTCATGATCCAGGCCCACATCAGGCTCCCTGCTCAGCAAGGAGTCTGCTTCCCCCTCTGCCTCTGCCCCTCCCCCCGGCCCTGCTTGTACACTCCTGTGTGCTCTCTCAAATAAATAAAATCTAATAAAATCCCAAAAAACAAATTTTATTTTAAAAAAATACTTGAGGTTTTCTTAGGTATCTTATTTTTGGGTTCCTGACAATTTTTGCCAAGGTCAGGGAACACACTGTGTATGGTTTCAACCCATATAAATATATTAAAACTTGTTTTAGAGTCTTAACATTTGGCATGTTTGGGTGATTTAAAAAAAAAAACTGTTTACATGTTAGGTGTCTCTAAGTATCAATTAGGTTATGGTGGTTGATAGTGTTTTTCAGATCATCTATTTTTCTTGTTTTGTTGTGGTTTGTCCAATTCTGAGAGAGGGGTGTGAAGATTTCTATAGCTGTGGGTTTCCTTTTAATTTTGTCAGTACTTGTATTAAAGTCTTCTGAGACTCTTTTTTTTTTAATATTTTATTTATTTATTCATGAGAGAGACAGAGAGAGGCAGAGACACAGGCAGAGGGAGAAGCAGGCTCCATGCAGGGAGCCTGACATGGGATTCGATCCTGGGTCTCCAGGATCAGGCCCTGGGCTGAAGGCGGTGCTAAACCGCTGAGCCACCCAGGCTGCCCCATCTGAGACTCTTTTTAAAGTGTGTAGTTGGGTCTTGGGTTTTTATCCATTCTGACAACCTCTTTATTTCACTTTTTAGTATAGAGACGTCATTTCCCTCTTTTCTTTTGGCTTTTCACCTCTACTTCTTTGCGTTTTTTTTATTTAGAGGTTGCTCTAGGGAGGACAGTAAGCACACTCAGTTGTTTACAGTGTGTAGCAGTAGTCCAGCACCCCACAGGCACGTCGCAGACTCTGCCTCTGCTCCCCATATGGGACCACCCCCCACACCCCTTTGTGTTCTGGTTGGATGTGTTGCGCCTGTGAACCTCACGGCCCCCAGTAGCAGGGCTGTGATAGCTCGCTTAAAGCAGTCCTGTGGAATAAAGTCCACCAGCTTTGCACTTGGAATCTTTATCTATAGTTTTTGATGTTTTCTTTGCATTTTTCTTGTAGATTAGCCTACCATGGCAGACCAGAGACAGCGCTCACTCTCTACCTCTGGGGAATCACTATACCATGTTCTGGGGCTGGACAAGAATGCAACCTCAGATGACATTAAAAAGTCCTATCGGTAAGAGCGCGCACTGCAGGAGGACCTTGTACCTCGTGTGCTTTGATCTGCATTTACCAAGAACCACGCCATGGGTTCGCCTGCTGATTCCGTGTGTGACTGGGAATACTTCCACCTACCTTTGTATGGTAGCATGTTCCCTTGTAGCTTGAAATTCTTATATTGGTATTTTCTTGGCAACAAAAAAGTAACAGTTGTGGATAATCCACGCTGTCTACCCTGGAGCAGCCAGTTCCGGGAGGCAGGTCTGAGTCTGTTCATCAGAGCAGACTGGGCTTCAGTGTCGAATGATTTCCTCCTTTCAACACCGCGATGACCGTCTCCTCCCTGTAGCCTTCACGTCGAACTTCCGTACGGCTTCCTTGAGTGCACTCGTTAATCTGTACCCTTCGAGTCCTCTCCTGTGTTCTCCCCGTTGTGCAGTTCTACACAGCAGACAGTAGGACCCTTGCCTGTCACTTTATTCGGCTAAATGTGCAGTTAGCCCGCGAGGACGCTAGAGGTCAGCAGTAGTAGGTTCACCAGTAGGTTCACCTTGGCGCCGTCCAAGAGGGATGGGCTGCTGCGGCCAGGTCAGGGCCAGGAGGTTTGCCCCAGACGACTGCACAGGTGCCTTCCCATCTGACATTCTCCAGCTCCGTGGTGAGGTTTCCTGCCCTCTCACGGGGGAATGTGGAATTAGGGACAAAGAAATGGTTTTGGTTTGCAGGAAACTTGCCTTGAAATATCACCCCGACAAGAACCCCGATAACCCAGAGGCCGCAGACAAGTTTAAGGAGATCAACAATGCCCACGCCATCCTGACGGACGCCACAAAGAGGAACATCTACGACAAGTACGGCTCGCTGGGGCTCTACGTGGCCGAGCAGTTCGGGGAGGAGAACGTGAACACCTACTTCGTGCTCTCCAGCTGGTGGGCCAAGGTGAGGGGGGCACGTGGCCTGGTGCCAGCTCGGGTTTCAGGTCTCGCGGGGCCAGGGTGTTTGGGCCAAGGGTCTGTGCCCCTGGGGAGTGGTTTCCGGGCAGGGGGCAGCCTTTGCCCCCATCCCGTGTGAGTGCCCAGGTTCCACCACGGGGCCAGCGGTGCCACTCTGCTCTCTGAGTCACCGTCCGCTCTTCCACGGAGGCGGGGGGGCCTTTTCCCGTCACGCGGCGGGTAGGTGTTCTGTCGCTAGCAGGGAAGACTCATTTGGAATCTCTGGCTTGGGACACTTTGGACGTACCGTGTATTTGTACCCGTGTGTTTGGAACGTTCGTCCTTGCCCTAACTTTACCCGAAGGCTGAGTCGCCCGCAGGCGCCAGGCCGGGGAGGCCGCTGTGCGGTGCCGACAGCCCTTTCTTGAAGCGAGTGAGCTCTGTCCCTCCGTCTTCCCACTTCTGGGTCCACAGGGGCTTTCGTGGCCCGGGCCCTCGCCTCTACCCGGGGCTGGCGGTGGAGGGTGGGGGTCAGGGAGGCCCCCGCCAGCGCCCCTGTGTCCGCGCACGCAGGTCCTGTTCGGGGTGTGCGGGGTGCTCACCTGCTGCTACTTCTGCTGCTGCCTGTGCTGCTGCTTCAACTGCTGCTGCGGGCGGTGCAAGCCCCGGGCGCCCGCGGGGGAGGACGCCGACTTCTACGTGTCCCCCGAGGACCTGGAGGCGCAGCTGCAGTCGGACGAGCGGGGTGAGTGTCGCCGAGGGCCGCCGCGCGGGGCGGGGAGGGGCAGGGCGGGCCCTGAACCGTGTCGACCTGTCTTGTCAAACAGGAGGGCACTGACACTGTGCGGGAGTGTTTGTGGTGGCGGCTGGGACTGTTGAGGTGTGAACGTGGACACTTGAGGTAAAAGCAGACGCAGAGGGCCGTCCCCACCCGCGCACTGAAGCGGCCGGAGTTCCGCGGGACCGAGTAGGTGGGGAGGGCCCGGGGGCTGGCGGCGACCTGAGGCGACTGAGGCAGGCTGTGTTGGGTGGAGGTCCGCAGCTAGCCTCTCCCCTCCGACCTCTGACTCCAGCGGAGCGGCCAGGCGACGGAGGATGGTCACACGAGGACGGTGTTGTCGGGGCCACGCGTGTGCTGCTGCGGCCGATGGCCAGGCCGCCGCCCTCACACGATGAGCATGTGTGTGCTTGCTTTTCAGAGGCCACAGACACGCCGATTGTCATACAGCCAGCGTCTGCCACAGAGACCACCCAGCTCACGGCCGACTCCCACCCCAGCTACCACACCGACGGGTTCAATTAAGTTCAGGAGCAGCTGAGATAGAGGATAGCGCAGCACCCGGCCACTTCACCCTTAGAATCATGAACTGTAGTCACAGAGATGGGGGGAGCCGCCCTGGCCACGGAGGAGGGGCAGCCGCCGCCCGCCGGGCCCTTCCCACCTCTGTGCCCGCCCACCCGTCGCCCCCAACACGTGAAGTGCGTCGCATGCGGTATTTAAAGCAGTTTAGCTACAGTCTTCTTCTTCTTCTGTTTTCTCCTTTTTTAATAGCATGTACGGGGTTATGTTCCGTGTCTGTCCGTGTCGTGGACGTGCTGCGGCGTGACCGCACTGAGCAGACGGTGGAGCCTTCTCGGGGCTTCCCACACGCTGCACGGACCATGGCTGTGTGGTGCCTCCCGGCCGGGCAGGCTCAAACAGGAGGGGGGGCTTCTGCCCCGGGTTGGTGAGGCCTGCGGCCGGGGCTGCTGGCGGGAGTGGGGGGCCTGAGCCCCACCGAGTGCTGCCGGCTGTGTGGCCCCGGGCGTGCCCTTGCCGTGCTGTTGCTTTGTGCGGGTCTGTGTGCCCTGGTCGCCGGGTAAGTTTGTTGTAGAAAGTGTGGGGGGCTCCGCTGACCCCGGGACCACATGGTGTACCTGGTGCGGCCTCAGTCTCCGCGTCTCACGGTCCTCTGAGCTGCTCCCTCGCCAGCCTGCGGGACGTGGTTGTCGCAGTCTCCCACGCTCCCCCCGGGCCACGAGCTGGATCATTGGGGCCACATTCCCGCTACCTCCTCTCCCCTCCTGCCACCCTCCACATTCCTTCAGGCCCGCGTGGCCTTCTGGTCCTTTCTGAACCTCTAAGAACCGCACGCGGCAGCAGTGACCCCGTTGTGTTGTTAGAGGGGCTGCACGCGGGCTGCTGCTGGAGCACGGCCGAGCAGCCCCGGGAGGCACACGCGGGGAACACGGCCAGGTCCCTGCTTTCCGGGCCCGTCCCCACCCACCCCCGGTCCTTCCCCTGGGCCTCCGGGCACCGTCGATGGTTCAGGCAGAGCTAGAGACGCCAGGTTCCTGGCGGAGGGACCAGCTGGACCAGAGGCACGGCCTGGTGCCCGTGGCGTGTGAGGCAGCGGCCAGGCTGGGGGACCCCCACTGTCTTGAGCAGCACCTTCTGTGAACCGTTGTTGGAAGTCGGTCTTTCCTGTCCTTGTCCCTGAGCTGTGGTGGGGCCCCTGCTGCGGAGGACGGGGAAGGGCCGCAGCAGGTGCCAGCAGCTGGTGTGCTGTGGCGCCGGCCTCCCAGCTGGGGTCTCCGCGCGGCAACCTCGTGGCCGCTGCGCCGATCGTCTCCTGGATTCCCAGTAGATGAGAACGACGGGGAGCGTGGCCCCGGTGTCCGCTGTTCGTCCCCGGAGCTGTGCTGAGGGCCCGGGGGGCCGGCAGGGCCGGCGGGGGCGTGGGCAGAGCCACGGGGGGCACCGGTGGCTGCGGAGGAGCTGGTCCTTGGGCAGCTTTTTGGTCCCCCCCCCCTTTTTTTTGGCTTTTGTTCATTAAAACGATCATGAAGACTTTCAGTGAGAAGGAAAATACGCATATGATGTTAAATTAGAACTGGTTTGCTGAAGTCAGACGTCACGAGAGGATCAGGTCATTGGCTGAGCCCGGAACCGGGGAGGAGGCCCGAGCGCAGGCCGCCTTCTCCGCCCCCGGGTGCAGCACAAGGGCGCAGCGTCTGCCGTGCGTGTGCAAGTGACTTTGAGCGTTTTTTCCCTGGAATGGCAGGAACCAGGGTCAAGGCGTGGTCCCCAGGGAGTGAGCATCCCCGCGGCAGTGGGGTCTGCGGGGGCCTCGCGGGGTCTCCACGCACCCACCCGGGCGGCTCCCCTGGGGGGTGCCGGCTGTTGAGCCCGGGCTCCCGCAGGACCGATGAACAGTGAGTGAGTCAGCAGTGGTGACAACAGTCCCCGACGGTGGCGAGGCCTGCCCGGGACAGGGCCCGGGCTGCGGCGGCACCGGGTGGGTCGGAGGCCGAGCCCCTTCCGCAGTCCGCCGGCCTCGCCTGCGTTTCCCGTCCCCAGTGGTCTGTGTGTGTCCCCGGGAGCAGAGGTGCTGAGTCGGGGGGGGGACCTTGTTGGCCGGCTGCACAGTGAGAGCACCTGGGCCCAGGGTGGGGAGCACGGAGACGCCGCAGGGTGGCTGCTGGCACACGCTTCTGTCCCTGCTCAGTGACGCGGTCTTGTCTTCCTTTGGCTTTACTCTCCCTTCGAACTGCTTTGGATATTAGCCCTCGTGTGAGCGCCGGTCCCGGGGGGAGGCCAGGGGTGCGGCCGGGGGAGCAGCCCGCACAGGGAAGGCCCGTCCAGACCAGGTCGTGGGGGCTGCCTGCAGGGGGGGATGGGGGCCCCCCCCCGGCACCTGGGGGGGGGGGCGGGAGCTCATCCCGTTCCTGGTCAGCACGCCGACCTGGGAGCTCCGGTGTCCCGGGGCTGCCCTGTCTGTTCTCGTTATCTTGGTTGTGAATCCTCCTGTGGAAATCGGCAGAAGCCGCGTCCTCCTGTCCTTCCGAGCACGGTTGGCGTGTCTGGGCTGTGGGTGCGGGCCGTGGGTGCCTCTGTGCGTGTACATATGTGGATATGTATATACCACGCCGCGGTGTGGCTGCTGTTGTCCGGCGACAAGTACAATAAAAGTTTGGCTCCGAAACGGCCTCGGGTTTCTTGGTGAGTCGGGTCAAGAACAGGGTCGCGGCGGGAGCGCTCCGCCCGGGGCCCAGAGAGGACAGCGGCCCTGCCGCGTGCCCTGGTCAGGGTGGCGGGTGGGTCCCCTTCCCCGGGGAGGGTGCTGGGCCGCCGGGCCTGCCCCGGGCCCACCCATCGTGCTCCCCTGCCCTCCAGGTGAGTGTCCTTTGTGACATCTTCAGGCTGGAAACCCTTCCCTCCCTGAAATGGTAGGGCCAGTTTTCTGAGCGTCAGATACAACCAGTGACCGAGTGCATCCCGAGGGGGACGCGTCCTAGCCGCGGGGCGCCCTCTGGGAAGGGGCAGCGCCCTGGGAGGTGGTTTCCCCGGAGAACGGGACCGTGTGTCAAGCTATGTGAGGGGCGGTTTACCCTGAAACCTATACACGTTGTCTTCAAATGCTCAGAGCAACTACATGGCCAGGCGTTGTCCCTGGGTTCCGGGGGGTGGACCCGTGGCCAGGCCGGAGGCTTAGGATGGTTCCGTGCTGATGTCCATCGCGTATGTCTGAATGTTGACCTTAAGATGAAGATAACTGTTGTACAATAAATGTTTTCACTGCAAACCAGCCTGTGTCTCCTTCGATGAGCCCTGGAGTCCTCTGGGGGCGTCGCACTCAGGGGCAGGATCTCCCTCCGCCTGCCTGCCTGGCCCGAGTGCAAATGGCCCTCGGCCGTGTTTCCCCCTTGGTTCTCTAAGTGCAGCGCGCAGAAGGGGTCCCCTGAGCCCGCGGGTGATGGGGACAGCTCTGCCCTCCCAGAGCCTCCATCCACCCGCCCGGAGGGGAGTTGTGCCGCAGGCCTCGGGGCAGCCTCCTCCCGGTGGTGCTGGGCCTGCTGCCCCGGGGCGTCCGTGGAGGCCAGAGGCCCTGCGCCTCCTCCCTGCTGTTGTGCCTTCCTGGCTCACGTCCAGGCCACTGGTGAGCTGGTGCCGCGCCGGCGTCTCCCCGCGGGGCCGTCGTCCCTCACCCTGCGGCCGCCCCGCGCCACCGCCCGGCGCACAGAGGGCCCGGCCAGGCCTCCCTGCGCTACACGGTCCCCATGCAGGGCTCCTGGCCTCGCCTCTGTCCCAGGGCAGGTGTGTCCCTGGGTGCTCATGTCCCGCCCCGTGTCCCCTTCTGCACACGTCAAGCGGGTGAGGGGGGGAGGCTGTCAGTGGAGTGGGGCTGACCTGAGCACCCATGGGCGCTAGATGGGAGACCCCCAGCCCCTGGGTGTGACCCCTTGGGTCAGGGGCCGGGGCTTCTGTTCCTCCGCCTTAACTCAGGACAAGGCACCAGTATTTTTTAAAAAGCAGCATAAAAATACTAAATCGTGTAAGCAGCGTGAAACAGACTCGCGTGGGTGTAGGAAATGGGAATCCTGTGACTGCGGGGACCTGCGCCCCCCTCCCTCCCCCTCCGCGGTTCTGGCCGGTGCTGCCCCTGCCTCCCAGGGACCCGGTGTCATCGTCATTTGTTTGCTCTGGAGTTTGCACAACGTGCTACGCGGCTCCCGCCCGCCTGTTGCCTTCCATGGGCTTGCGGGGTGACCCCACCCGCAGCCAGGTCAGCGGCCGCCCTGCGAAGGAGGGTGGGACAGGGCTGCGCCTGCAGCAGGTGCAGGCAGCTCAGGGGCCACCTGGGCACCACCTCCGCCCCCCCGGGGCCCCTCCCCACCGGGCAGACCGGTGCTCACGGGGAAATAGGGCCCCAGCTTTAGTGCTGGGCGTCCACGGTGCTGGGGGTGGGTGCGGCCGGGCTCTGGCGGAGGGACCCCGTGCCCAGCACCCCGGCTCCCGCGCGGCCTCTGCTCCACTCCGGGGGCGACCTGCACCCCTGTGCGCTCGCCCTCACGCGACCGGGGCTGGAGGGGTTGGAGGGTGCAGGGGAGACGGGGAGGGGGGAGACGTGGGGGGAGACCCCGGAGGCTGGGGCCCGGCGCCCGCTCCCGCCCCAGCCCCCGCGGCTCTGGGCCTCCAGCGGGAAGGAAGCGCGGTGGGAGCGGAGGAGCCCGGATGAGCCGCCCCGAGCGCCCGCGTGGCCCCGCCCCCGGGGGCCCCCGCCCCCGCCCCCGCCGGGACTCCCCGCGCAGCTTCCTCTGGCCGTGGCCGTGCCGGGGGCGGACCCGGGCTGCGGCCGGCTCGGGGCTGGGGGGGGGGGCGGCCCCAGCCTCCCCTCCGGCGGGGCCAGGGCAGGGCCACGGCACTGAGCGGCCCCCGCGGGGAAGGGGCGGCACCTCTCGGGCTGACGAACCTGAGACTGACCGCGGGGACACACTCTCAGGTTGGACAGTCCTGGAGGCGCCGCCCGGGCCCGCGGCGAGGCCGGTCAGTCCGGGAGCCTCCCGGGTCGGGTCCCCTCTGGACGAGTGCGGGGGCTGCGGCTCCCTCGGCCCGGGGCCCCGCACTGTCCCTCGCACTGTCCCCGGCGCCGGCCCTGGACCGCAGTGTGGTCCCCCGAGCACTGGGCGCCGGGTCTTCCCCCAGGGAGGGGGCTGCAGGGTCGCCCGGTCACCCGGCCCTGCTGGGACAGTGACCCGCACAAGGCCCACCCTACCCATGGCCCAGTGTCCCCAGGCGGCCTTGGGTGACCACAGCCTGAGGGGCGGCACCTGTGCCCCAGGTCCCCTCTGCCCTTCAAGAACGGGGTGGAAGTTGCCCCCCCAGCCCACGCATGTGTCTGGATATGGGCCGAGTGCCGCAGCACAGGACACTGGAGCGTGCGCGGGGAGCTGGGGGCTCAGCTGGACGCGGGGAGGCCACTGAGGAACGACCTACCGCCACCCCGTCCCCGGAACTGGGGAGCCCTGGCTGGGCTGCCAGGAGGGCGCCAGCAGCCTCCCCAACAGGGCCAGGCGGGGGCCCCAGCCAGTGGAGCCCGGGACACGGGGCCGCTCACCTGCGTGGCCGGGAGCCCCTCCTGCTGACCTCCGGGCCCCCTCTCCATTCTCGTCCTGGTGCTGCCCTGGTGCCGGACAGCCTCCTGCTCTATCTGCCCGCCTTTGACCTGCCCCCCCAGTGACTTCCTGTCCCCGCCCCCACAACCACCTTTTCCATGACATGGTCTTTTGGGGTTGGGGGGGGGGAACCAAGGAGACCCGCAGGGCAGGAAAGAGGCCAGAAACAGGACTGACGTCGGAGGGAAGGGAGCCGGGGCCTGACAACCCAGTCCCATGCCCGAACGCGCCCGTGGCACCCCACCCAGGCAGGCCTGCCACTGAGGCCCCGAAGCCACGAAGGCGGGGCTGGCAGCGCCCCTGATGCTGCCCCCTGTGCCGCCACCTATGCTGTGGCATCTCCCCTGCACCTGGCGGCTCCCCCCACGGCGCCCACACAGACTTCCGCCCTTCCCGGGCAGTGCACACACGTGGTGGGACGAGGCCCAGGCTGGAGCCGCCCCAGGGCCCCAGCTCTGCACCCCCCAGTCTGACCCCACCCCGAGGCCGACCCTGCAGCCCGGATGAGGCTGGGAAGCCGCCGGGCAGCACGGCGCGCGCCTGCCCCCAGCTAACCACGCTCGCTCGTTTTCCTAAACTTTATAAAATGTGTAGGGCAGGTACAGCGTGAACATCCTTTTCAGTTAAGCAAGGACGTCTGGGTGGGCGAGGCCGGAGGCGCGCGGGGGCTAGCTGGTGCACGCCGCCTCCTCCTCGTCGCTGCCGTCGGGCGCCGCGTCCGTCCCAAAGTAGCGGTCACCGAAGTTACCTGGGAGACAAGCAGGCCCGTGCGGTGGCGGCTCGGCCTGCAGGCCCCGCCCACCGCCGAGGAGCGCCGCGGCCTCACCGATGCCCGGGATGATGCGGAACAGGTCGTTGACGCGCTTGTCCACGGCCGTGGTGATGATCCGCACTCGCGGGAACGCGTAGGCCACCGAGTGGACGCCCATCTCCGCCATGAGCAGCGACAGCAGGAAGATCTTGTCCTCAGGCACGTCATGGTCCTGCGGGGGGGGGGGGCGGCCGGTGAGCTCCGCCCCCGCCCCCGCCCGCCCGCCCCCCGCGGCCCACTCACCAGCAGCACGCGCACCGCCATCATGGCCGCAGCGCCCGTGGACACGGTGCAGTCCATCAGGATCACGTGGTCGTCGCTGATGTCCTTGGGCAGCCGCAGGTAGTGGAGCTGCACGCGGCCAGGGTCACGGGCGGCCCGGGGCTGCCCTCCGGCCGCGCCCTCCCCGCGCCAAGGCCCCCCGCCCCCAGGCCTCGCCCCACCTCGGGCTCCCCGGTGTGCTGGTTGGTCTGGATGAGGATCGTGCCGATGCGCACGTCTTTGCACACGGCCCGCAGCGCCGGCTCCATGGTCTCACCCGCACGCAGGATAGACACGCCCGTGATCTGCGGGGCAGGGGCGCGGGGGGCGCGGGCAGTTGAGCGGCGCGGCGGGCTGGCCCGACCCCCGCCGCCCCGCCGCCCCGGCTGCCCGCCGCCCGCGCCCCACCGCTACCTGCTTCCCCGCGTAGCACTTGCCCGCGTAGTCCTGCCCCTGCGGGGTCTGCACGACGCAGTCCTGCGCACGGAGGGCGGGGGCGCTCGTGAGCAGGGGAGCCGCCCCCCCCCCGCCCCGCCGCCCCCGCCCGCCCCCCCCCCCCCGCACCTGGAAGGGCAGGAAGGAGAGCGCGTGCTCGATGAGCAGCCGCATCAGCCTCTTGGAGTAGAAGATGAACTCGTCGCGGCTGGTCTCCTTGTCCCTGCGGACGGCGGGGTTAAGCCGGGTGCGGGCCGCCGGGCCGCCGGGCCGCCTCGCCCCTCGCCAGGGCCCTCACCTGATGATGGTGTGCATGCCCCGCACCTGCGGCGTGCTCTTGAGGACACTCAGCGTCCGGGGCAGGGGGTGGCACTGGTGCGCCGAGGCCAGCGCGGCCCTGGGGACACAAACCGATTGGGGACTCAAGAAGAGGGGGGTCTTCCCCAGAGCCCCGTCCTCCCCCTCCGGACACTGACGGTGTGGGCGGCGCAGGTGACGGGGCCAGGGACGTGTGCAGGGCGAGGGCCGCCGCCTCCCCGTGGCTGATCTGCGGGGCCCAACCCCCGAGTCGCCCCGCCAGGCGGGGGCGAGCAGAGCAGCTGACCCTCGGGTGGGGAAGCGCGGGGCTGCGGTGCGAGCCCCCTCCCAGCCCCGACCCCCTCCTGCGCGGGCGTGGGGACGGCAGACGGGGGCCGCGCCGTGGGCGGGCGGGGGAATCGGCCCCAGGTCGTGTCTCTGGGCCACAGCTGAGCCTCAGAGCCAAGCCTCGCCCAGCCCCTCCCTCCGGATGACGCACAGCCCCTCGGGGGCCGCGGGCGAGTCTGCAGGCCGGCCCCGCTGCACCCGGCCTAGGGTGGGGGCGGGGCGGGGCCAGGAGAGCAGAGGGGCGGGGCCGAGCCGGGGAGGGGAGGAGCCAGGAGAGCAGAGGGGAGGGGCCGAGCCGGGAGGGGAGGAGCCAGGAGAGCAGAGGGGAGGGGAGGGGCGGGGCGGAGCCGGGGGAGGGGCGGAGCCAGGAGAGTAGAGAGGAGTCAGGAGAGCCGGGAGGGGCGGGGCCGAGCCGGGGACGGGCGGAGCCAGGAGCAGAGGGGCGGGGCCGAGAGGAGGAGCCAGGAGGGCAGAGGGGAGGAGCGAAGCCGGGGAGGGCGGGACCAAGCCGAGCCGGGAGAGGGAAAGCGCAGGAGCGAGCCGGGGAAGGGGCGGGGCCGAAGCCACGGGGGCGGGGCCGAGCCGGGGGCGGGGCCGCGCAGGAGCGAGCCGGGGCGGGGCCGAGCCGGGAGAAGGGAAGCGTAGGTGCGAGCCGGGGAGGGCGGGCGGGCGGGGCGTGGGGAGCAGCCCGCGCACACAGCGCACAGCACAGCACAGCACCGCGAGCAGCGCGCACTCTGTCCTCACATATCCCAGCGCAGCTTCCTCTACTCGCCAGGTGAAGAGTGTGTTCAGGGAGGGAACAGGGCAGGAAACCAACCCGGGGGTTTACAAAGAGGAGGAAAAGAAGAGAAAAAGACCATTTAGCAAGGGAGCGGTCCGGGCGGCCAGCAGCCGGCCTGAGGGTTAGAAGAGGCAGGTGGCAGGGCGACAGGGAGACCGAGGGAGGCTCTGCGCTCCGCCGCCGGGGCTCGGGAGGGAGGCCAGCAGCCCCCCGGCCACGCCGCCTGCGCCCTGCGCGCCCGCCAGTCACCACCTGGGCCAGAGAAGGGAAGCAGCCCGCTGCGTTTAGGCGTTTTTCCAAGTTTGCGACCCTGGAAACTATTCCGGCCACGAAGGCTTCCAGAGGGCCTGACAGGGTAAGACCTGCAGGTGCCCCGGTCTGGAGGGGAGCCAGCGGGGACTCATGCGAGGGCAGCAAGTGGCCCTGGAGGCATTCCCAGTGCAGCAGCTTCAAGGTCCCAAGCATGACCCGGAGGGTCTCTCCGTGTTTCCTGAGTCCAGAAAGCCCGGGCCAAAGGCAGGTCATTCGTGCTGGACACTGTGGGACGGGGGCTTCGTCCGTTCTCATGGGCCCCCGGTGCACTCGGAGCTCCTCCTGGTCCTCTGTGCCCTGGGTGCGGGGCCAGAGTGGGCAGGGGGCAGGGGGCTGGGGCCTCACCACCATCTGGGGGAGTCCAGACTGGACCCTCAGATCAGGCAAAGGACCCTCTAGCTGCTGAGGGACATGCCTGTGACCACTGACCTGGGCGGGGCCAGCAGTGCTGCTTCTGTGCCCTCTGGCGTCAGACCCTTGCAACCAGCCCCTGTTGGGGAGAGGCCTCCAGAGAGGTCTCACCAGTGTGGTCAGGGCACTGTGTGGTCCTGGGCAAGTCCCTTAACCTCTCTGTGCCTTAGTTTCCTCATCTGGCAGCAAAGACAGACAAAAACAGCGTGGGGGCCACCACACCATCCTTTCTGTGCCTGGGGCAGGGCTGCCACAGGGGATGGGCATGACAGGAGAGGACCCTCCCACCTGCCCAGGTGACAACCCAAATTCCGAGCTGCCAGCAGATGTTGGAAATGCCTCCGTCCGTGCAGACAGGTGTGGGAAGTCTTACCTGACACTGAGCTCACGCTGCGGCAGCGACACGGGGAGGCACAAGGGAATGGGGACGGCACGTCAGTGGCGGTAGCACCGCTCACCTCGCAGTCACCGGACAGCACAGCCGGTGGCCACTGTGCACCTTGGCCGGCCAGGCCACCCCACCCGGGAACGGACCGGCCACAGTCCCAAGGGTTAGTCCCAGGTGGCCGCTGACCACAGGAGGGAGCCCGTAACCGGGGCACTGTCTGGTCTGGGCAGTAAGAGCCGGGGCTCCTGGGGCTCCGCTCCTCAGACCTCAGGCCTCCAGCACCCCACCTTGACGCCTGCCCAGAGCGGAGGTGCCCTTGGCCAGCCCAGGGCACGTAACTTCAGCTTGAGGCATCCCTCTGGGAGTGCTCAGGATGTGGGGCTCAGCACTACAACCCAGTGGCCCCCCGAAGGCTTAGGAGGGACAGGAGTGTAGCCTTCCACTCAAGGCTCAGCTCAGCCCGGGAGGCTCCTCTGCACCCCTGCTTCCTCAGGGAACCCAGCTGCCTCTGCCAGCACCAAGGGCCGGGGGCTGACCGAGCAGGGACATGGCAGGGGACAGCAGACACACAGGGGCTGCAGAGCAGGTGTCTGTGGGTGGTGATGGCAGGGGACCAGGGAGTGGGGCCTGGTGGGCTACGGGGACCCGGGAACCTGGCCCAGTGGGCTCACCTCCTCCAGCTGGCTGTGCATGTGCTGCACGATCAAGTCGATGGCCACCGTGTTCCCGCTCCCTGGGATGGGACAGGTTAGGAGGGTGACACGGGTGACCAAGGCTCCACCTGCCCATGTTCCCGAGGGCAGGCGGCTCTGCAGGCTCACCCCAAGGCACCACGATGTCCGCCACGCGCATGGTGGGCTGGATGTACTGGTCGAATGCAGGTTTGACAAACTTGTTATATTGTTTGATGACACCCTCGATGTCTCGGCCTCGCTCACTAATGTCCCGACGCAGCCGCCGCACAAGGCGGATATCAGAGTCTGTGTCCACGAAGATCTTCATGTCCAGGAGCTGGATGGGGAGAGCAAGGTGCTGAGTGGGGTGCGGCACCAGCAGGGCCAGTGTGGACGACACAGGGACCAGCTCCTGCAAAGACCTCTGGCTTGGGTGCTGGCCTGGGAACAGACCAGGCCTTGGGGCACCTCGCAGGTCCAGCTGGCAGTGTGCACGGGGGTGGGGAAGCGTGTGGGGCCATGTACATGCTGGGGGGCTGCTGTCCAGCGGGGGACAGTGGCTGCAGAGGCAGGATGCACCTGGTGCCGTGACTGTGGGTCATCTGCCATCTGTGTGCCCTCACACGTGCTCCCAGGGACTGGGGACTCGTTCTCCCCCCACCACAGTTCCTGGGCTTGGTGAGTTCAGGTCTGGTCCTGAAGGTGCTCCTGGGGGGCTGCGCACTGCTGCATGGCTGCCAACAGGGTCCCCTGAGCCCGAGCCCAAACTCACTGGCCTCAGAACTACAGGGACCGGAGCACGGCTGGCTGTGCGCACAGGCCTTCCTCATGGACCTCGGTGGGGGCAGGAGGGGGGCCGCCCCCAGCAGGCCTGGCGGGAAGGACGGAGCTATGCACGCCCCCCTCCCCCCGAGGGCATTTCCACTCTCCACCCAGCGTCCTTGACCCACTCTCCGGAGGGCAGCCCTGTGTCCCCCAGTACCCGGCACCTGCACCACAGGGATGGGACAGGTGACCACGCGCCACAAGGGCAGAGCAAGTGGCTGGGCCTGGGTTAGAACAACAGGCGGAGCAGGGAGCTGAGTAGGGACGGGTGTCCCCGCGGCCGCAAGCCCTGCCCTCACCTCCAGCAACGTCTTGTCAGCAAAGGCCATGATGCCCTCGAAGATGATGACGTTTGCACCGTAGAGGGTTTTCTGCAAGGGAACCGTGCAGCGTGTTGCCCGCCAGCCTGCCGCGCTCCCAGGCGGGCAGGCGCAGCCCGAGCCCACGGGCCTACCCAGTCCTTCTTCCGGCTGTGCGTGGTGAAGTCGTAGACGGGCACCTTCACGCTCTTGCCCTGTTTCAGCTTCTTGAGAGTGGACACGATGAGGTCAAAGTCAAAGGCGTCTGGGTGGTCAAAGTTGAAGTTGTTGTGGGCGGCCTGCTCCTGCTGCTGCGTGGTGAGCACCTGTGGGGGGAGCAGCGGGGGCTCTGTGGCCTCCAGGCCGGGGGGCGGGGGGGCGGGGCAGGACCTCCCGCCCGCGCAGGCCGTGCTCCCCACCTTGTAGAAGGAGTCCATGGACAGCAGGACCACCCAGGGCACGTCCAGGGCCTCGATGATCATCCGGGCCACGGTGGTCTTCCCCGAGGCGCTGCCACCGCCCAGGCCTGCGGCAAGGGGCAGAGAGAGCCGGAGCGGGCGGTGCGGCCGACCCCCGGCCGGGCTCACGCTCTGCCCCGGCTGCAGGGCCAGCACTGCCTTCCAGCTGGGACGCCAGCCGCCGCCCCACGCTCCCCGGGGCGGGCAAGGCCGTCGCGTTAGTGGCAACGCCAGTCGGGTGTTCGGTGGCGGGGCCCGCCCGGCCCTGGCCTCCCGCCCATGAGCCTCGCTCACCAATGGCAAAGGCCTCCTTGGACTGCGTGCCGTGCTCGTTGTACCAGGGCGGCCGCCCGGCCGTGTAGATGGTCCGCTTGCTGGTGCGCAGCAGGGGGGGCTCAGACTTGCACTGGCTGGTGGTGCGCTTCCGGGGTGAGCGCCTGGCACCCACGGGTGGGAGGAGCCTGTCCAAGGATTCCGCATTGCTGCTGCAGAGGAAGAGGACGCACTCGCCTCCGCCCAGGTCTGCCGGCCGCCCCCCCCACCCCGTGTCAGGACTGGCGTGGCCGTGGGAAACCCCCCACCCCGCGGGCCGGGGAGCACACGAAAGCTCCTGCAGCCCCCTCACGGGGGGCGGGCCTGGGACTGTCACTGCCCGCAGCAGTGCGGGGGGAGCGAACGCTGGGGGAAAGGAGGAGTGCCGTCCGGGCTGCTGCTGGCCCCTCGGGTGGGGGGCACCCCACGGGCCGTCAGGACCCATCAGGGACTGCGCTCCGCCCCACGAAACTCTCTGGAGAGCCCTGTTGTCTTGTCAGGGCCGACCCCTGCCACCCCGTGGACTCCGGGACAGAGAGACCGCTGGCAGGGCGGCTGAGAGGGCGGGGCGCGGGGCGCAGTCCTGGGCTGGCAGGCCCGCAGGGGAGCCCTCACTTCCGCCCTCCAGCACCCTGCAGGCCGAGAAGGCGCCAGTCCCAGGGGCCGGGGGCTGGAAAACCCAATCTGGGGAAGGGTTAGGACAGCAGCCGTGCCACTCGCTGACTTCTCCGTCAGCTCCTGAGCGGCTCGGTGTGACGGCTGGCTCAGGCCCCAAATCCCAGCAGTGACAGCTCTGGGGGGGACTCGATGTGGCCGAGGGGCCACCTGGGGGCGGTGTCTGCTTGAGGCCTGCTCAACATCTGTGCTGACAACCTGGTCACCAAAGCCTGCTGTCAAGGTGGCCGCAGGGCCAGGACCCGCTCGGGAGAGAGAGAGACGTGGGGCCGGCCAAAGGATCCCGGGCCTGCTCCGGGGCCTCAGGGCAGGAGGTGGCCCCGGCGGGCGGGAACAAAGTGTAGTGAGTCACGGGGATGCACTGGGCAAGTGGGTCCCTGCAAGAAGCTTCCTGTGACACAGCCTGGCCAGCACGCGGGCCCCGGGCCCCGTGACCACTGCTCCGGGGCTCGAATGGGAGCCTGAGGACGCAGCAGAGCGTCGAGGCCGGGGAGTCGGGAAAGCTGACAGCCACGGCGTGAGCCCACTCGTGCAACCAGCCGACGCACACTGCTCAGTGCACACGCGGTCTATGCGCGTGGGGGGGCACAGACGGGTCAGGATCGCCCTGGGGACCGGGGTCGGGCCTTCCGCCCCACTGCATCTCAGCAGCTTGGACCATGCCGCGGCCCGTCTCCGGCCTGTCACCGCCACGGCCACCGGCAGCGCCAGGACACGAGGTGCCCGGTGAGGGCCCTGGGAGCGCCTTCCTGCCTGTGGAACAGCCTGGGCATTTGCACCTGGGGTGCGCCAGCCCTCCCAGCTGTGCGCCCAGAGCCAGGAGGACACTTGCTCACTCGTGTGTCTGGGGGTACGAGGCAGTGGGGGGAACCAGCTAAAGCCAGAGGCACGACAGGTCGCAGCGGCGGTGGTGCGCTCGAGAGCCCCGAGGACAAGGCAGACTCGGCCCAAGGGATGGACGGGCAGGGGTGGGGAGCTTGGAGGGAGCGCGGACCAAGAGGTGGCGGCCAGGTCACGCGCCTCACACTGGGGGCAGCGCCCACCCCCACCAGCCCCAGGGTCCCAGGCGCTGCCTCCCTGCAGGTGGCAGATGGCACAGGTGGGGACGGCGGAGCCACCCAGCAGCTCCTCGGTGGCCCTGGAGGGGACGAGGGGCAGCCCAGCCTGTCCCCGTGCCTCCTGGGAGACAACCCTAGCGGACAACCCACTGCAGAGGAGGGCCCACCACCTGGCCGACCTCCTGACCTCCTCCCGCGTGCACAGCCGGACGGGGAGCGGGGCGGGGGCGCAGGCCTGGGCCCCGATGGCGCCCATCCCCCTGCTTCTCACCACAGGGCAGGGGCCTGGCCTCTCTAGCAGGAAACTCTATTCCCTACCTGCAAACACCCCTTGTCCTACCGAGGTAGTGACGGCCACCACCGCCGGCGACCTCTGAGGCCCATGCTGCCAACGCCTGGGGCAGACACCGTCCCAGGGAAGAGTGCCCATGTGCCAGGAAAAGCGGAAAGTAGGCCAGAGAGAGCTTTGCCAGAAACCCGCCCCACATGGGGCGTGCGATGGGTCTGACAGCCCCGGGCGGGTGTGCAGCCAAGCCCGGCTCCGCCGCCTTCTCCAAAGCCCCATCTCTCTCTGGGAACCAGGGACGAAGCCTCACTGTGACCTCAGCGCAAGCCTCACCCCATTTTCTCAGCGACACGACCCTGGAAATGGGAAGGTCACCCCAAAAATCTCCTTTCCCAGTCTACACGTGGACGGGGTGCTTCTCGCTACAGGGACGAAAGGTAATTTCAAGCCAACGGGTTCCGAGCCACCAGGGACAGAGACTCACCTGAAACAGAGAGCCCCACGCAAAACGAGTCCCTGCTCGCGGCCAGCCCTGCCTGGCCCCTCGAGGGCACCTACCCAGCCTGCTTGTCTCCTGACGTCTGCGAGCGGCCACGACACAGCAAAGGCAGTCGCCTCACCACAGCTGCGGGAGACACAGGCCTGCCACTCACCTGCCTTCCGCTCCAAGGGCCCAGCACCCCGAGATCCTGATGCCAGGGTAAGCTGGGGGGCTGCTCATGGCTGGGGCAGGGGACAGCGGACGGCAGGGCGAGCCCCGGAGTCTGCAGGAACATCCCCTGTGCCGCTCAGACCCACAGCGGCCCCCCAGGACCGCTCAGGAGCCGCCCCCCAGGGCTGGGAGGCCGCAGGGCAGGTGCGGAGCCGGTGCGGTCCGAGGAAGAACAGTGCTCGCTGGCGGCCCCGGGGCCGAGGCCCCAGGCATTAAGAGGATCACCCGGCGGGGCTGCGTGCGCTCCCGGTATTAATAGCACTGACCCTGCCGAGAAGAACACTGCCGAGAGGCCCTGGCCGGCCCTGGCTGTCAACTGCCCCTCCTGGGCACTGGCTGCTGTCCCGCTGGCCCAGGCCTGGAAGGACCGCGGTGCACCCCTCCTAGAACTCCAGACCCCAGGCCTGCTTGGGACTGCAGAGCCGACCCCCTCCTACCCACTCGTGGCACAAGAGGGAAATCAGAGTGTCTTGGGGCCCAGCGTCGTCGCTGAGCCTCGGGGCTGAGCCCTGCGTCACACCCCTGGCCCCAAGGTGCCTTCCAGAGGCGCAAACAGCAAACAAGCCTGACACTCGAGCCGCCCGCCCCGCCCCCACGGGGTAGGCTCGGTGCCTGGCTGGTGCCCCAGCCAGGGCACGGGCAGGAGGGAGGCGGGGTTCGGCCGGGAATCTAGGCTGCAGCGTGCAAAGGGGACTGCGTCCCCCTCCCTGGGCTCCTTCCCAGCTTTCCCCGACTTGGCTTCTAACCACACGGAGGCTCAGGGAAGGAGGCCCACACACCTGAGCGCGGGCCCTCCTGGGAGCTGCCTCGGGAGCAGCCTCTCCTGACCGCCCAGGTCACAGGGCCGTGTGCCCCCCAGTGCAGAGGCGCCTGGAGGGAGGGCCGAACCGTCCATCCCGGCTCACGAGAGCTCTTCCCTGCTGACCCCTGGCCTGGACCCCATGGTTCAGGGGCTGGTCCGTGCTTCGGAGGCTGGCGCGGCCCTGGGCAGGCCTGCAGGGTCGGGCCTGTGGCACCAGGGCCTCCACTCGTGCCCGACACCCTGCCCGGTTTAGGGAAGTTTGGTGGGTGAGTAAATGGGAGGCTAGACGGAGGCAGGCGGAGTTGACGGCCGGGCCCAGGCCCCGGGGATCCCCGACTGGCTCAGGGACGCAGGCAGCAGCAGCTCTCTCAGCCCACGCGGCACTGGCGGGCCGGGAGGCTACAGCCCCGAAGGGAGTGCGACAGGCTCGCTCGGGCTCGCTCGGGAGGCTCGCGGGGCCCGACCCAGCCGCCTGGTTCCTGCTGCTCCGGGCCCAGCCGGCAAGTGCTTTGCAAGCGCTCGAGACATCAACCCAAACTGCAACCCAATCCAACCTGTTCCCAAAGCTGCGGAGCCGCCCGCCTGGGCTGCATCCCGAGGCTGCCCCGGGCACCGCTAGCGCCCCTGCGGCTTCAAGGAGCCCCGGGCCCCGTGCTCACGGGCTGGCCCCCAGGAGCACCCGGCAGGCGCCGAAGCGGCGCGAACCGCTGGGCCGGGCCGCCCGGAGGGGAAGCGGCGGGCAGCGCGGCGGGAGGGCGGCCTGGAGGCTCTGGGCCGGGCCGCACGGAGGCAGCGCTCGGGTCCCCGCCCGCGTGGAGCCCTCCGGCCTCGCGGGGGCGCCCCGGCCGTGACCTGGGCTGACCTGGGCGTGACCTGCGGCTCCCGGGGCACTCGGGGAAGCTGCGCCCCCGCGCCCCCGCGCCCCCGCGCCCCCGCGCCCCCGCGCGCGGCATCCCCGCCCCGAGGAGCCAGACCCGAGGGCGCGGGGAGGGGGGCCCGGTTCCCGCCCCGGTTCCCGCCCCGGCCCGGCCCCAGCCCCGGCGCCCGCTGGGCCTCCCGGAGCCTCGGGGGGCGGCGCGACGGGGGCCGAGCCCGGGGTCCCGCAGCCGAGCCGGGGCAGGGGCAGAGCGACTCGGCTCCCGAGAACCCGCCCCCCCCCGCCCCCCGGGGACGCGAGGGCGCGTGCGCAGCCCCAGCCCGTGCTCGCCGCGCCTACCAGTCCTCGCGCGCGGGCTCGCTCCTGTCCGCCGGCCGGTCGGGCCCGTCTCCGGCGGGGCGGCGGCGGCGGCGGCGGCGAGCGGGGCGCGTCCGCGGAGGCTGGGGGCGCCGCCATGGAGCTCGGAGGCCGGGGCGCGGGGCGCGGGGCGCGGCGCTGCGGGCGGCCGCACGGGGCCCCGGGAGCCGTAGTTCCGGGCTCGGCGCCGCGCACGGCCGGCGCGCGCCCGCGAACTACAAGTCCCAGGAGGCCGTGCGGCCGCGCATGCCGGGACTCGTAGTCCGGCCTCCCACCCGCGCTCGCCCACAAACGCAGGCGCACAAGCCCCTGGAAAAGAATCAATAAACATTTATTCGATACAGTCATATTGAATACATACAGCTGATGGCCCGCCCCGCGCCGCCGGGGGCCGGGGCCGGGGCCGGGGACGAGGACCGGGGACGGATGGTCACGCGGCGGGCGGGGCCCGAGCTCACCGTCAAACATCTTGCAAATAAACACTTTGTAGATAGAATATATTTGTATATATACGGGGACAGGTGATAGCTGGAACCTCTCTTCCAAAATGCACTTATGTTCGGAGAACTGGCGTTAGAGACCCAAGCGCAGGCTGCGCGGCTGCCGGCCCGAGGCGCTGGCCGCCCCCGCCCCCGCCCGACCCCGGCGACCCGCCGACCCCAGGGCCCGCAGGGCTGCGGCTGCAGGAGGACACACCCTCATCTGCCTTTGCACAAGCAAATAAAGTGCATCCCGTGTTCGTGTGAAGCGGCGGCCCTCTCCTCTCTCGGGCGGGCTGGGCCAGAGGTAGATCTTCAGAGAGGGCCCTGGCCCCGCGCCGGCTCGGGTCTGGGGCGCCCACCTGGCCCGGGTCTGCCCCTGCAGTCCCCTCCCGTTCCAAGGTGTCAGCCAAGGCCAGGGGGCCGCCCGCCCGGCAAACTCCCACCAAGGGCGCTGCCCCTTGGAGCCGGGCTCACCAGGGCAGGGGAGCGGGAAGGAAGGGAGAGGGGTCCGACCCAACAGCCACGCTTGGCAGCAGCTCCCCACACCCACTTTAAAGACAAAGAAGGGGGTTAAAGTGCTAAACATCAAGTTATCCAGGACCCCACCTCTTCCCACACATCTCGGCGGGGTTCCCAAACCAGGGACCATCTGCGGACTTCAGGGGGCGACCTGGAAACTCACTCCCCAGCAAAAATCCAGCCCCCCACTCCCCAAGGGCCAAGTACCTGAGAGGCCGGGGCGGGCGGCCGTCCCCAGCAGAGGTGTTGAGGTCCAACCTCCTCCAGCCATTGGTGACAAGGACAAAATGCACCCAGGGCTCCTGCCAGCACCTGCATCCCCTCCCTGCCCCTGCAGTGGCTGCCTGACTGCACCTCTGCCTCCACCAGCTGTATACCAAACGACACCCAGAACACGGAAAAGAAAATCCTTCTGCCCACGCAGTCCGAAGCCCTGCCCCCGCTGCCCTCCCTTGACCTGTGACACGGGATCACCCCCTTCTGCCCATGCCTCCACCCACCCTTCCACCAAATCCAGGTGTGTGTGACTGGGGTTGGCCATGTCTCTGCACCCTCTCCCCACACGAGGCCGGGGTTGCCCAACTCAGAGCCTTTTGGCCGAAGGAAGAAGCTGGAGACACACAGCGTGACGAGTCCCAAGGCCCCCCTGGACGCTGTCTCCCTACTGCAGGACCAGGAGAGCCGACCCGACGTGGAGCCCCTCCTCTCCTGGGACTAGATGAGGACGGGCGCTGGGGGGCGGGAGGGGGGACGGCAGAGAGGTGCCCAGTCAGCACTGCCTCCCTGAGCAGGGGAGGGACACCCCTTCAGCCCCCAGATCCACCGTCGGCACCAGGAAACCCTTAGCACCAAAATGTCAGATTGTTGTGTTTTTGTATAAAAAACAGAATAAAAAAAAGGTTGTTACTTGTCACAGCAACAAGACTGGCATCCACTACACTCAGGAGACACACGCACACGGGCAAATATCAAAATTCACATCGTCCAGGATCGGCAAGGCCGAGCCCTCAGCCCCCCCACCCCCCAGTGGGAACCAGCCTCTGTCCAAACCCAGTGGCTCTGAGCATCGTCGTCCTCCCCCACATTGCCAAAGTCGGACGGCGGGGCCCAGGGAGGCGACCAGAGGCAGTGTGGCCACCTCCCCTGGGTGCCCTGAACTCCAGCCTGAACCCTGGTCAACCTGCAGACCCAGCCATCCCCTTCGGGGCCCAACACAGAGCTGCCACCAACACAATGTGACCTCGGCCAGGCCCCCTCTCTGGCCTTCAGCTCTCAGACCACACAACCAGAAACAAAAGGGCAGGTAAAACAGGGGGGAGGGGGCTCCCACGGGAGCTCAGCCACAAGCCAACCCAGCCCAGCACACGGAAGGCTGATTCCCACAGGGTTACTCCTCGGAGCTGGGCCCCAGGTCCACACCCCACATGCCTGTGGGCCCCAGGTGGACCCCGGAGCCTAGACTGGCCCATCCCCAACCCACTGGGCTGCCCCGACCCAGACCCGTGGTGGCAGCAAAGCCAGAGACTGGGGGCAAAGCTGTGTTCCACATGGCCCCCGGCCCCCCTCCTGCAGCCCTGCAGGTGAGGGCAGGACCCTCCCCCTGTCCCAGGCAGGGAGCACCCACGGGCGTGGGATGGCGGAGTGCCCTGCTAACAGGGCCACCCCCACCCGGCATGGTGCCCAGGGGCCAGCGGGCGGGAGCCCAAGCGCAGCAGGGGTTGCACAGGTAGGGGGAGGGCCTGGAGAGGTAGAGAACAGAAGCAGAGGAACCGGAGGCGGAAGGACGAGGGAGGCCACGGTGGGGCAGGCCGTCAGGTCAGCACGGCAGCAGTCGGCCTCGGGGCCTGTCCTGGGAGGTAGCTGGGGGTGCTGGGGTCCAGTGTCGGGTGGAGAGGTGAGGCTGCTCAGGTGCCCTCGTCAGCCCAGAACCGCGGGTCACCAAGGACCCCCCAAGCCTTGGGCCTGAGAAAGCAGACGGGGCACGGAGCTCACACGGTGAAGGCCACCTGCCCGCCCTGCGCTGCCCTGCGGCACCGAGGCCTGGGCTGCAGACCCTCCTCCTGCCCGTCCAGGGCCCCAGACCCTGCCGAGCCCGTGAGCGCCCCTCCACGCTATTGAACTTCTGTGGCTGCCACGGGCCCTCCCCTAAGGGACCCCGCCACGTGTGCCCTGCACAGCCTGCACGGGGGAAGGGCCATCTTCGGGAAAGAGAGAGGGGCTGGCTGCCTCCACCGGGCAGGTGTACAGGTGGGTGCGGGGTGGAGACCCGGAGGGCAGGAGGTCCTGGAGCCAGCTACCCGCCCTCAGCAGTGGACCTGGCGTCCAGCGTGGGGACCGGGCCCCACCCACCTGCCAGCCACCACGCTCACTTCTCAGGAGCCTTGCTGGCTCCCGCCTTCCGGCCAGTGGAGCCCCGCGCCCCCTTGTCTCTGCCTCCTGGGGGCCAGTCATCCCGACGGGGGGGCATCTTGGGTGCAGGCTCCTCAGGGGTCCGCTCCTTGGGCTTTCGGCCTCGCTTCTTCCCACCTGCCAGGCTCTTCTTCTCCTCCTTCTTGGGTGCCAGCGAGTCCTGGCTCCTGTGTTTGGGAAGTGGGTCTGCAGAAGTTCGAAACCAGTTCTGGAAAGGAAAGAAACCACAATGAAGACCCGGGGACAGGAGAGCGCTGACTCCTGGGGCCAGGCAGGTGGCTCAGGCGGCTGAGCGACAGGGCACCCACGTGAAGCGTGCCGCCCGGGCAGGGCACGGGGGTAGGGCACCCAGGCTTCTCTGCTCCTCCAGGGAAGCCAGCAGCCGCTCTCGAGGGAAACCACCAGCTCTCCTAACCTTGGCTGCTCCCTCAAAGGCCACACAAGCGACTACCCTGCCACTCCCACCCTGGCCCAGTCCCCGCTGCGGGGTCAGCCCATCTGCCCCAGGCCCAGCAAGGCCCCCAGCCCATCCCACCTCCGCATGGGTCTTGAGGATGTGATATTTGACGCCACTCTCAGAGCTGAACTCCTTCGGGCACAGCAGACAGCAGTACTTCCCCACCAGGTGGTCTCCCTGCAAAGCATGGGCCAGGCCGGCCACCAGACATTGGACCCCACCCCCAATCCTTGCAGGACCAGAAGCATCAGACCCACCAGGGCACCTGCCCCTCCTCCTGCACCTGTGTGGCTATAGGGTCGGGGAAGCCACAGCTCATGGGGATGGGCTTCAGGGACCCACACAGCTTCTCTGTGGCAGGACCTCTGAGTTGCCCCCACTAAGGAAAGGTGATGGATGAGGAGAGAGTGGGAAGAGGCAAGTGCCCCAGGGCACAGCCCCTCACCCCAAGCCCAAGTTAGTGCTCACACCCACATGGACAAGGAGCCCCTGTGGACGGAACAACTTTGAGCGGGAGTGTCCTGGGCAGGGCTGGCCACCAGGCACTGGGCGGTCCCTGGGCTCATGGAGGAGGCTGCCCCACAGGGGTAGGGTCACACATCCAATATGTGGGGACCTCTAGGGGTTGGCTAGGAGTGCCGAGCACCCACCCCACCACGGGAACGGGCCAGGGCACTGACCTTGCTGCAGCTGGCGAGATGAGCCTTAAGGCCGGACACACTGGAGTAGATGGCTTCACAGCACTGGGGACAGGAGGCAGCCATGGGAGAGCGCCTCCCAGGAGATGCCCCCGCACGAATACACACGCACCCCTCACCCGGGGGATGTGGGGCTTCTCTGGGCTAAGTGCAGGGCTCGGGCCCAGGAAGCCTGAGCTGTGGGCAGGCTGGATCTCTAGGGCTAAGGTCATGGGGTTCCATCTAAGGGCCCTGCAGGGGCCCAGGGATCACAGGTGAGCTGGTCACTCGGAAGCCTCCTACCCAGGGTCACACCTGGGCTCTCTGTCCTTGAATCCCAGTGCCCTCACACCGCCCCACCAGCCCACCCCAAAACTCACATCATTGGGGCAGTTGACATGGCCTTTCTCCTTGACTTCATTCTTCCATGCTTCCAGAAGCTGGGGGTTGAGCGTGGGGAGGCCTGGCCGAGTGTAGTTGAGCTACAAGAAACAGACGCACACCAGCGTGAGCCCCGTGGGCCTGTGTAACGGGGGCCCCGAGCGCCAGGTCAGAGCGGAGCCCGGATAG